GGAGAGATGGTATTGTCCGTGTTTCGCGTTTTGGGTCTTGTATGTTTGTGTTTCAGTTTCCCTCTTCGTCTATAAGAAAGTGGGTTTTCCGATCAGGTCTGTGCCATTACCAGGGTAATCAACTGTACCTCCGGAAATGGTCTCCAGGAATTAAACCAGTGACTCCGTTGGTAGAATCACTTTTGGGTGACAATCTGGGGTATTACACTTCAATATCATTCGATTGATGGTTTGGAGTGGATTGCTAGCACTCTGGGTCCGCCTCTCTGGATGGATAAAACTACCAAGGTGGGAGGACAGTTGGGGTTTGCTAAGGTGTGTGTGGATCTTTCGGCGGAGTGTGGATTCCCCTCTAAGGTACGTCTCTATCCTGATGATGATCCATGATCTGAATCTACCTAGGGCGTGCTCGCACTGTCAAGTGTATGGCCATGATTGTTCAATCTTGGCAAATGGTAATAAGAAGTGGGTCATTAAGGGGGAAACCAATTCTTCTAATCCTATCTCTATAGATGCTGAACATGGAATTGACAAAGTTGTTCAGGACGCTTCTGTTGAAGATGTGGTAGTGCAGACTGAAGTGGATAATGGGACTGTTGAGGTAAGTTTGATGTCTACTGATTTGATTTCCAAAGGGAAGGAGGTGGATTTTAGTGGACAGGAAGATCCTACTACTACGCCTATCGGGAGTACTGCTGCTAGTTTTGTTGATGTTGTCCTAGGATCATCAGTCCAGGCAGGGAGTTCTAGTCAACCGAAACAAAAGTTTGTTGGGACTATTTCACCAGATTCTGGGAGGGTAGTTTCTCATACACCTACAGCTGAAAAGAAGAAGGAACCTAACCCATGGATTACCGTTGGAAGTTCTAAATAGAAGCCATCAACACATCGAGTTGCACCAGTTCTTCCTCATAAAGGGGGGAGGGCCGGAAAGAAAAGATGAAGATTCTCACCTGGAACATCTTGGGTTTAATGACCCGGATAAGAATAAAGTTGTTAGACAGCTAGTTAATAGATACAATATAGATATCTTAGTTATACTTGAGCCTAGAGTTAGAGAAAATAAGGCAGATGAATTTATAAGTAAGCATTTTCCAGGTTGGGAGTCTAAAGTGTCAAATAATTCTAGTGGTTTGGGCAAGTTATGGTTATTTTGGAAGTCTGATATTAAGCTCACTGTTCTCCATAAGACGGATCAATTCATTCATATGATGGTTGGTTCAGAAGTCCCATTTTTCCTCTCAGTGGTTTATGCATCAAATGAGGAACTGGGCAGGAGGGTTCTTGACAGAGATTTGGAAAATTTTCGAGCTGGCTCAGCTCCTTGGGCAGTGCTGGGGAATTTTAATGCAATTGGTGATGTAAGTGAGGCTTCTAATTCATCTCAGTTCTCTAGTAGCATGTCTGATTTCAGGTAGTGGCAATTTGATTGTGAGTTAGAGGAGCACATGGCATCAGGTCCGGGGTTAACGTGGATTAATAGTTTGTTGGTCAATGTCAAGTGGTTCGAGGGTTTAACTTCTAGCACAGTTGATCTGTTGGATCCATCAGTGTCAGACCACTGTCCAATACTTCTAAACTCTGATAAATCTTTGCCAATGCTTTTTAAGTTCTTCAAATTCTGGATCAAGCGTCCTAGGTTTATGGATCTGGTTAAGGAGGCTTGGATGGTGCAAGTAGAAGGGTCAACTTTAGTTCGTGTTTGTAAGAAGCTGAAGATCCTCAAAGGATTACTCGAGCAGTTGTATAAAGATGTTTACTCTGATCTGAGTGAAAGAGTTCATTTAAAGGCGGCAGAATTGTTGGAAGCTCAGGCTAAGGCCTTAAAGCACCCTTCTCCTATCACTTTTGAAGTTGAGCTTAGGCTTGTTAAAGAGGCAAAAGAGTTAAGAGAGGATGAAGAGTCTTTCTTTCGACAGATGTCTAGAGAAGTCTGGCTCAAAGAGGGTGATTCGAACACTCCTTATTTTCACAATTCAGTTAAAAGCCGGCAGAAGAGGAACATGATCAGGTCTTTCGTTGATGAGTCTGGTCAGAGGGTAACAGATACAGATGGGATGTCTAGGATTGCAGAGCGCTTCTATATGAAGCTGTTGGGGGAATAGGACAAAGAAGTAGTTCTTCCAGAAGTTGATCAGATCAAGAAAATACTGATGAAAAACTATTACCTGGACAGGGGTGGAGCTTTGATGTCCTATCACTGCTGAGGAAGTACGTTCTACCTTGTTTGGATTCCATAGAGAGAAGGCCCCTGGGCCAGATGGCTTCCCGGCTTGTTTCTTTCAGGCAACTTGGAGTATTATTGGAGAGGAGGTAACTAATGCCATTCTCTATTGCTTTCATGTATCTACTATACCTGTGAGTATTAATTCTACTCTCCTAGCCATTATTCCTAAAATCCAGAACGCTGAGGAAATGAAATTTTTTAGGCGAATATCCTGTTGCAAAATACTATATAAATGTATGGCCAAAATCTTAGCTAGTAGACTAAGTTCTGTCATGCCTAGCATTATAAGTGAATCTCAGACTACTTTTGTCAAAGGTAGAGTCATTGGGAAAATATTATACTTGCACATGAACTGGTCCAGAAATATGGTTCGGGTCAATCGGGTTCGGATTAATCGGGTTGCGGGTCAATCGGGTTGCGGGTCAGTCAGGATGCGGGTCAATCGGGTTGAGGGTCGGGCAGGTTACGGGTTGTTGACTTTTAGTCAATTCGGGGTTGCGGTCGGATTGCGGGTCGGGTTGATCGGGTGGGTTATTCGGATCGGGTTCTTTTTTTACACCTATAGATGGGCATGAGGCAACCCCAAGGGCAGTTGTACGGAAGGGAGAGGAAGGGAGAGAGTGTTTACTTTTAGGGTTGAGTTTGGTTGAATACAGGTTCATGAGTTAGGAATGGATAATTATTGAGTGGGTCAATTGGCATGCTGACCTGGCCGAAACATAATATATGAATCTTGTCCTTTGTCATCCAAACAGAAATTGGGACGGATGACAAACCTTATGATGAGTAAGCATGAGTAACCTGTCCACATCAGCATGACATCAGCATCCCTCTCTCTCCTGGAAAGCCTTTAATTTTCTCCTCCTTAATCTTTGACGGACGATTTCTCACTCGTTTTAAGTTGAATTTAATTTTTTTTTTCACAGTAAGATCATATTAATTGTGCTCTTCAAAATGATATCCAGTTTGATATATTTATCGAACAAAAAAAATTGAGTCATTCTTTACCAGTTTATACCATATGGTATTGACTAGTATTGAAATAAGAGCATACCTATGGTTTGAAAAGCGTACCATGGTGGTATGAACAAACCAAGATTGTAGGATGGTTGAATACATGATAGTAGAAGTATATTAACTGTCATTTACGCCTTTTAACATTTTGTACCATATGGATCATGATCAGTGGCGGAGCCAGAAAATTGGCCAAGTGGGTGTCTTTATCATATCATAAAAAATCACCTATACAATAGAAAAGTCAACTTTAAATTAAACAAAAAGTCAACAACGCAATACTCTAAATTCATACAATTACATTAAAATAGTTTCACGTACACCGGTTACAACGTCAAACAAATAAGTTCAGTACATACAAATCAAGACTTCCATTCATCAAATATTACAAATTAGAACTCAGAAGTACCTTGAAATTGATTTTGTGAAACAAACAAGTGAACTTCAATTGGTACTTCTTCACTTTCAACTTTGTTTAAACAAAAGACAAGAAATTTCTCTGTTGTAGAGCTACAAAAAAAATGAGCGAGTTTAAACAAAAGACAACAATTTATTACTATAAATAAAGACGAAAGTGCATTGCATAACAAAACTCACTCGACCGAAATGGTAAGAAATTCTTCCTGCAACTGAATGGTCATTGGTTCGAATTTGTATATACCCCTACTCGGAATTTTTTTCTCCAAACCCAAGGGGGGTGCTTCCTCCTCTCCAAGTGGCTCCGCCACTGATCATGATGAACTCGTTCCTTCTATGCAAACGTTTTCAAAAACGAATTAAAAACGAAGATGATACCCCATGGTATGCAGTTGGTACTGAGAGGCAATAAATTTTTTTCTCAAAAAAATTTTGAACATGAATATCATTTTGTAGAGCACAACGAACTCGTTCCATCTGTGAAAAAGAAAATTAAAATCCGAGTTAAAACGAAGAAGATATGAGTCGATTAAGAAAGTTAGGGAAATTAAAAGTGACATTTAATTCTCTATCCTTAGATCTGAATTTTCTAAACGAATGGTCGAGATTTAGTTATTGATGGGTGCATAACCCATGATCCATATCTTGAGCCAACGGATAGGTAGCAGATCCGGTGAGTAACCTTATGATGAGTAACCATGAGTAACCCGTCCACATTAGCATGACATCAACATCTCTCTCTCTTCTCGAAAGCCTTTTATCTTTTCCCCTTTAATCTTTATCGGATTATTTCTCTTTCGTTTTAAATCAAAATTTAAATTTTATTGCAAAGATAAATTAGATTAATTGTGCTCTTCAAAATGATATCCACTTTAATATTTTTTTGGAACAAAAAAATTTGAGCCATTTTTTACAAGTCTATACCATATGGTATTGACTGGTATTAAAATAAGAGCATACATATGGTTTGAAAAGCGTACCATGGTGGTATGAGCAAACCCAGACGGTAAGATGACTAAATACATGATAGTAGAAGTATATTAACTGTCATTTACGACTTTTTAACATTATGTACCACAAGATACCACCTCGTACCAGGGTGGTATTGAATGGTACTGTGTGGTAGTTTTTGGTCTTGTAATTTGTTCACTCAGAAATTTGAAGATCCAATAGATCATGATAAACTGGTTCCTTCTGTGCAAACATTTTTAAAAACGAATTAAAAATGAAGAAAATATAATATTTTATGCATTTGGTATCGAGAGACACGAAATTTTTTCCTCAAAAAATATTGAAAATGGATCTCGTGTTGTAGAGCAAAACAAACTCGTTCCATCTGTGCAAAAAAAATTGAAATCCGAGTTTAAACAAAGAAGATTTGAGCCGATTAAAAAAGCTAGAGAAACTAAAAATGTCATTTAATTCTTCGTTTTTAGATCTGAATTTTTTAAACGAAAGATCCAGATTTAGTTATTAATGGATGCATAGCTACACTAAAATTGGAATTAAGTGGTAACTGACCTGACCCCTAAGCCTAAATTAACTTAAGTGGTATTACTTCACCAATTAAAATAAGTAAGTAGGATATTTCTCGCCAGAAATGTAATTCTTGAATTTGATAGTTCACCATACAAACTTATCACCTGAATCCACGCAACGAAAGGAAGTCAATCCAATAAAATAGATCTTAGCAATATAAATACATAAAGTTTTTGGCTAATACCAGCACAAAACTATACCCCAAAACCTTGACCAAAGTATGCCAGTCAGTGACGGCCACGGCCTCTTCTTGTTGCTTTGCCAGCTCCACGTTTGCCGCCTCCACCCCCACTTCTACCACCACTATCAAAATTTGCACTTAGCCTTTTATATTCTATCGGCAATGGAAGGATGTTGTCGATACAGGTCACGACGCAGAAAGGTTCCATAGAACCATTTTCCCAAACAATGAATAATGATCGATTGTCCCACAACGTTGGCCATTCTCGGATTTCAAATGAAGGGATCCCCCCCGAACCAGAACCAGGCTTCATCTTCTCCTCCCACTCTGGATCGCCCTTCTTCAGCAAATCGAACACTATCTTGTACTCAACCTATATACAGTTGAACCACAATTCATTAGTCCTAAAAGAATAAGGCAACCATCCAAAATCTTCGAGTGTGCATACCTCAGAGGTAAAAGGAGTATTAAGTGGCCAGACTACGAAGAGTTTCTCGAAGTACGAAACCAGCTCAGCCGAGCTCCGAAATCTGCTCATACCCAAGGTGACTCCATCTTGGCCGTCTTCTTTATGATGACAGCTGCAAGGACCAGCAATTGTTTCTCTGAGTTCCTCTGGCAAGGGCAAGAAGTTGTCAACACACTTAATGTAGCAGAAATCCTCCATGGAACCATCTCCCCTAACGAGGTAGAAGCTTCGCAACTCGCTGCCGTACGCTGGATGGATTCGAACTTGAAACGATTCAATCCCAGAACCAATCTTTCTCTCCGACTCTGGATCGCCCTTCTTTAGCAACTCTAGTAACATAAGGTGCGCTTTCTACAGTCCCAAACAAACAACAGCAAAACCAACAGGTTGCAGGCGGCAGGCACTCAAATCAACACAAAAAAAGAAAGGAACACCTCAGGCGTGATAACCTACCTCATTGATCGCCTGATTAAGCGGCGAAACAAGAAGCAGAGAGTAGTAATAATGAAACATATGAGAGGAATCCTGGAACTTGGATGGACCAAAGCTGAAATAGGTAGCCAATATCTCCTCCACACGCCGAGCTATTATTTCTCTGACTCCTTCTTCTCGTTCCTTAGCAGCCCTCACAGTATCCCAGCCTCCCAAATGGCATAAACAAACAGCATCAATGCCAATACCATGGCCTCTCAAATCTTTGGGCAAGGGAAGGATTTTGTTAACACAGCTTCTGAAGCAGAAATCCTCCCTGGAACCATCTTTCCTTACAAGAAAGAAGGTGCGGAAGCTGGTACACGTTGGGTGTTCTCGGACTTGAAATGATTCGACCCCACAACCAATCATTTTCTCCGGCTCCGGGTGACCCTTCTTCACCAAATCCAGCAACCCTCTAGTCTGTCTCTGCAAAAGAACATTAGAGAGGAAGCAGCCGAATGAAATGGTATAAAGTCAGTACCGTCCCAGCAGAGCACAAACTAAAGCAGAGGCCATCAAGTTCCTTTCCTTCCCCATCTAATTAAACAGGGCAGCTAGCATTCGACGGGGATCTCAAAGGAAAGACAATCTAACCAAGGACATCATCACCATGTGTAACGTTCATAGCTGCTAAATCAGACACAAACTAAACAATGAACACAAGCTAACCAAGAAGCGGATGCCATGTCAGGTACTTGAAAGGAGGTGATCTTGGTTTCAACAAAAGCAATTCGGTCACAGAAACAAACGCAGTAGCAGCAAACTAAGTGGGAAGGAAACACACAATCAACAGGCAGATCGTTATCCAGAAGTCATATGCATTACAAAATTAATCAACAAACCTAGGTTGGGATTTCCGTGTAGACAGAGATACGAAATCAAATCCAGGACTATAAGAATCGATCGCACAACAACACGACTAGGAACAGAATACCTACATCGGGGATAGGGGTATTGTCTTGCATAAAGGTAACCAACCGGTGGAAATCCTGAACTAAATGACGGGCGGTCATGGGTTCCCACATTTCCGAAAAACAATTCATCCACAACACCGCCTCCTCCTTCTCCGCAGAATTCCCACCTCCGGCTCCGACATCGGTTTCCCCATGGTGCTTCTTCGAGGCATTATCGCTTCCGCCGTTTGGCCCTTCACCGGTCTCCTCCCTGTCCCGCTTCTCGACGGCAGTGGCCATCATCGCAAAGAATTTAGAAAAAAGGAATTAGCACAAACCCTCAAAGGGAATTAGCCAATATATATAACTAGCTTGTGTGCCCGGCCTTTAGCCGGGTTTGAGCTTTGTTGTTTATGTGTTATTTGTGCATGTATGTGTGTGCTGCTTGTTTACGTTGAAGGGTTCTTTTGGTTTAATGATTAACACGTATTCAATAGCTTGCTGGTCTGTACAAATTCTGCCCATAAGGATTTTGTGGTATGGCATATGCATAAGTAAGAATTCCATTTATTGTACTAAGCTGAAGCCTAATAAAAGGTTTTTGTTGTCCAAACGACCCCATAATAGTTAGAGAAGCCTTTACATCTTATTTATGCACACAACTAAAGGCTTTTGTCCGCGTAGATAAATATATATATATATATATATATATATATATATATATATATATATATAGTATGTAATTTACCTACGTTTTAATCAGTCAAAGAAGAATAAATCAGTATTTCAATTTATTTTAGTTTTAGTTCGTACGATTACGCGATGGACGAACCGATCGTCCATCAATTGGCATCAGAGCCTGGTTCGACGGAACCGAGCTCTTACCAGCTCCCAGGGCAGACATCGTCAACGTTCGACCACCCAACGTTGGGAAGAGGTCCCGCGAGCAACCCCGACACCGCCAATACTGCTAAAAGTCGCTATGCCTGATCGATATCAGTTTATACGCGATATGCAAGAAGAGCAAGAGCTTCTTGATCTTCTGGAGGAAGAAGAACGGTCTGAAAATTTCTTTCACCATCGATCTTCGTCCAACCGCCAGTCACGATTCCCTCCACAGTCATCACGGATGCAGCAGTATCCACCAGTTGTCTACAATCCGTGGAGCTGGCGAGATCCTATCCTCAACCACGGCCTGGAAGCTCGCATCGCTAGAAAGAATTCTCAACATGGGACGGATGCGCAACCACCTTACGACGATGAAACCCTACCAACCGACGCCGAGGATTTCCATGATCCGAGGATTCGGAGCCTAATGCAGAGGTTGGAGAATGCCCTGATGGCCTCCATAGATAGGGTGTTTGCTGCTGGTTCCATAACCGCTGCTGCTACCGAGCCACCACTCAACGACGAGCCAAGCATCAACAGTCCATCCCCAACTTTGGGTGCCGCAGCCGCTTCCGTTGTCATCCACCGCGCCGACGTTAACTCTACCAAGTTGGAGCCTCCAACCGTCGACAAGAAGGAGTTACCTGCAGCGCCTTCGCCAACAATTGCTGCCAACGAGGAGCACACTATCGCTCCATCACCATTGCCGCACGTATGCTCTATGGTAACCGACTAGGTCATTAAACTAATTTTGGTCGCTATTATTATTATTATTGTTTATTTGGATATTCTTTTGGTTATTATTTCTTGTTAAGGAAGTTATTGTTTAGGAGTTGGTCTAGGATTAGTTTACCTTGTTCGGGAGGGAAAGGGTTTGTAGGATTATTCCTATAAATATGTATTTTGTCTCTACGTTTTAATCAGTTAAAGAAGAATAAATCAGTATTTCAATTTATTTTAATTTTAGTTCGTACGATTACGCGATGGACGAACCGGTCGTCCATCAATACCACTTCACGAAAAGCCCTTTTTTTATACAAAACTTCCAATAAACTTAGATCGGTGTAATTGAAGGTATAGGGTAGGGGAAAAGTACCTTTTCATCAATTAGGATGATGTCCAAACGCATGAGTACTTTAGTTTTGATGTTAATATCTTGCCACATCCTAGAGACTCTCGTACGAATTGTACCGGTAAACAACCCTTCTTGAAGGGTGTCTAACACTGTAATCTCCATTGCGGCTGCACTGGAATTGGGATTGGAGTCGTCTCTTCGTATCCTCCTCAAGCAGGTGTGTGAATGTGATCCATTGGAATGTTGCAGGTTGGGCGATTCAGCTTCAGATCGTGAGGAGTCTTTCGTTTGTATTTCTTTCGATTGAATCGCCGGCCACAATCATTGACTTCCACAGAGCGGATTGTGTTCTTTAAATAGACCATCATTGCTGGCGTGGGAATGAACTGGTTGGCAGTTAATAGGAATCTATTTGAAAAGGCCGAAAGGAAGTGTTGCATCAAGGATTCGAAACTTGATAGATTCCAAGTTTGCTTGTGGCGTTTTGTGGGAGAAGGGTGGATAAGGATTTGGTTTTGGAGAGTCGCTTGGCTTCGTATAGGAACGATGAGGTTTCTTCTGGGTTGTTAAATTAAGTTGTTGGTAAGTTTATATTTGTGGGAGAGAATTAATTGGGCCGAACTAAATTGTCAAAATTTTAGGTTTAATTAAAATTTTCGGCCATTAAAATCAAATTTAAATTGTAATAGGTTTTTTTTTGTATGATTGTTAGCGTAATGGGCTTCATTCCACCATTAAATTTAATTTTGTAGCCAAATCATTTACAATTTTGGTAAATAATACATACTTGAACATTTTCAAAAAATTAGCATTGGCACACCTAATAGGCATTAAAAATTTGGGACGGGATACGGTGACAACCCCTTTTAGAGGTTGTCGGATTCACAACCCACTTCATAGCCCTTGGATACGTTCTCTTTCCTGTTTCTTTTTTCTTTTTTTAAATTAACGATTAAGATTAAAGGAAGGGTATTTTTGGAAGGGTAAAAATTTACCACACCCAATCATTCACCCTACCATATAAAAAGAAAAAAAACCCTAACTCCTCCATCCTCCCTCTCTCTCCTCTCTCTCTCCTCCCTCTCTCCTCCCTCTCTCCCGTAGCCATCACTGTCTCTCCTCCCTCTCTCGCAGAGCCCTCCGCCGCCACAGCCCTCCACCGCCGGCGTCGGCGCCCCTCCGCCTTCAGCCGGCTGTCGAGCCTTCAACCGCCATCTCCGCGGCACAATCATCCTCTTCGCCCTTCGTCCCCCACCACTGCCGCCGTTGCGAGGTCACCCTCTTCCCCTACCTCTCTCTCCCGTCACCGACTCCCCTTTTCTAGATCTGGTTTTTTAGTGGTACCATTTTTTTTCTGGTAGCGTACCAGTGATAGTGGTAGCGTACTAGTGATAGTGGTAGCGTACCACTATCATCTGTTTTTTTGTATTATTCTCTACTGGTATCGCTACCAGTGCTAGTGGTACATTTATTTTCTACTGGTACCGCTACCAATGCTAGTGGTAGCGCTACCAGTGCTAGTGGTGCATTTATTCTCTATTGGTACCGCTACCAATGGTAGTGGTAGCGTTGTACTGGTAGCGTACCACTAGTACTGGTACATTTTTTAACCCATTGGTAGCGTACCACTAGCACTGGTATATTAATTACCAGTAGACTAATGGATTGGTACACTTTTTAACGCACTGGTACATTTTTCCAGGTTGCCGGAGGGAGTCTGTCCGAGATAATTCGCCGGAGAAAAAGTCTGTCCGTCGATGCGGAGTGGCCGCTGGAGAAAGGAAGAGAGAGATAGATAGAGATATTAATGTATATGATTTAAATTTCAAAAAATATTGTATTTAATATGGGTTTTTAATTCCCAATATAATTAATACACAAAAAGGTAATTAATATATTACTTTTTTCCATACCCAAAATACCCTTGGTTGTGAATCTGACAACCCCCTTAGGGATTGTCACCGTATCCCGTCCCTAAAAATTTATATAAATTTTCGCGGCAATTGGTGTGAAGGTTTGGTCATATTAAGACATGCATTTAAAAATTTTCCTTTTTTTTTTTGAGGTTTTGGGATGCAAGTACCAAGTTGGCGTGTGGGTGGTTTCCTTTAATTGGAAAAAATGTATAAAACTCGTATAACACGTTTACCACGCATATACATTCCATATTTGATATTTCATGTTGTATAATATCTTAATTCAGATTTGAATTATTGAACTCCTAAAGCTATAAAACATACTGAAACTATATTTGTAACCATCTATAAACAATAGAGCTGTTTTTTTTTTAAATAAAGCATTCCAAATTATGATCATATGACTTGTATCATCGATAAGCATCCAACAACAAACATAGTGTTCAACATCAAATATAAGTGTATCCTACATAAACAAAGCAATGACGAAAGTCTGGCTATAATTTGTATGAATTAAATGACAACAGATTACATAAAACTATAGTCCAAAATGTTCACAATTTTTGCATTTTGCTAAAGTTGAATGGTCAAAATATTGATGTTCCCGCCAGCTTGATCAAAAGCATATATATAGCAATCTGGTAAGAAGAAGATTGATCTGAAGTGAATTGCTTCTTGACTTGTGACCTTCGATGATACCTGCTTGCTCACCTACAAATTACATGGATGCATTGTTCTCTATTAATGTTAGTTTCATTATAGGTTAAAAATTAGACCACCTAGAAACGAGAATGAAACTAACCTGGAAAATTAAGAAGCATGCTAAACATCTCTGTATGCAAAGTGTAGGGAACAATTAAACCATGGGCAGAATGTCATGTCTTGCTATGATTCATCCATGATTCAAAACCTCTCTGTAAACTATGTTCTTCATTGTAAACAATTCTTCCCCATCTTCATCGCTGCTAAGTATCTTTAAGCCTTGTCTACTTGTGACCCTCGAGATTGCAACATAGAGTTGACCATGACAAAACACTTGATGTTGAAGACATAACCCTACATGCTCTAGGGACTGCCCTTGACTCTTGTTGATGGTCATGGCGAAACACAATGCTATAGGATATTGCCTCCTTTTCAAAGTGAAGTTTAAATATGGTAGTTCTGCTGTTAAGACCACTCGGGGCAAGAAAACTTGGTCTCCAACACTTGTCCCAGTAAGAATTTCTGCTTGAATATTCCATTGTCCCAATCTTCTAATAACCAATCTTGTACCATTGCACAATCCTGCTGTTTGGTCAATGTTCCTTAGCAAAAGAATTGGAACTCCCACTTTAAGTATCAATCCATGATTTGGAAGGCCCCCGGGTTTTATGGTGTTGAGAAACTCTATTGGATATTCAGGATTTGTTTTGCTCCCACTGCCATCCGCATTAGCTATTGAATCAGAGCTAGGATACAATGCTTCTTGTCCAGGAATTAAGTTAAGCATGCAGTTATTTATTCTGTCAACCATCTCGTGGTGAGGCGCCAAGATAGCTCTGCCTTGTAAATATTTTATATCCTTATAGCTCTGCTCCAAATTAGGATATGTTGCATTGACAATGTCTTCTATCGGTGAGCTATGTCGTTGAGCTAAGATGTCTTGTGGGATTGGGATTTGTGCATCTCCCAAAACAGAGCAGTGTTGCCCATCTCCTATCCCAAGAACCCAATCAGAAAAGGTTGATATCTCTTCTGCCACTTGGTCGGTGCAACCTGGTTGATCTATTCGCATATTTTGAGTCAACTTAAGCACAATCATATTATCCCAGAGATAGGATTTCTTCAATGACGCCGTAACAGTTTCTGTTCTTGTTCCTTTATGAATAACAGGTAGGACTTGACGGAAATCACCACCAAAAACAATTGTAATCCCACCAAATGGTTTATGTTGACTATCGGGGAACTTTGTGCGAAGAATATCTCTCAATGTTTTGTCCAATGCCTCCATACAATGCTTATGAGCCAGTGGTGCTTCATCCCAAATAATTAGATCCGTGTGTTGGATCAAATATGCTAAATCAGTCCCTTGTGCTATGTTGCAAGTTGCTGTTGGGGAGAGATTTAGTGGAATGCGAAAACGGGAATGTGATGTTCGGCCGCCCTGTAATAGTAATGCAACAATTCCTGATGATGCTACTGGCAGTACAATTCTACCATTGGACCTTAATTTTGCTATGAGGACTTTCCATAAGTATGTCTTCCCAGTACCTCCATAGCCATTAATGAAAAAATTCTACCCTAAATCTCCATTGACTGATTCCATAATTGCTTCAAAGGCTACTCTTTGTTCAGCGCTCAACATGGAGCTGTGATTGTTGTAGTAAGTACATAGTTCTGCAGTGTTGTAGCATAACTCCTCGCCAATTAAACGGTTAGGGTGGTCGATCATGGAATCTTCACCATGAACTGGAATTCCATGAAAATCTGCTAATGTTTTCCCTTTTCTCTGTAATAATCTTTCAATCTCAGTTAAGCCAAGCTGCTGAATTTGAGTTGCCGACAGCTATAAATTGGGTAAATCAAGGGCACGTCGACGCTTGAATAGAATATCTTCACATAGTAGCTCCCAATTATTCTCCCACAGATTTCTTGGATTGGAAACTTGTGAGCATGTAAGGAGAGTTACAAATAGCTTCCTTAATTCATATCCACTTGCCCATTTGAGATGCTTCGATGATGCAATCATGCCATTCTTTGTCGTCGTCTAAGAATCCCATGGCATAACATGCTTCCTGGAAGCTTTCATAGACTACACTGTTGAATGTTTTTATGTCTTCAAAGCTTTGGCAACCTTTGACTACATTTAGCAGCATACGTAGATAAAATCGTTCTTCAGAAGTCAGATGTGCTGAATACAATTTGCCAATTGTAAGTTTTGACTTGCATGGCCTCCAAGTCCTTGTCTCTACATCCCAAGCATAATAAACTGGAAAATCCACAAAAGTATGTTGTCTCGCTTGTGGGTCATGGATGTTTCTTTTCATCCATGCCAAAAGTATAATATCTTGTTCTCCGTCTGCAAAAACTTCTTCCATGGTTTTTTGTTCATTATATACAACCAAATTTTCTCTGGGAAGATGGAAATTCATTCGCAAAACTGAAGGTCTATGTCAACTTCAGCAGCAGATATATAGCGACAGTCCAAGAATGCTTTTATCTCATCAGTTTCATGAATAGTAGTTTTTGAGCTTGAAGCAGCATTTGAGATATGCATTTCTGTGTCAACTAAAGCATCCATTGTTCGATCAGGACTCTTAGTGATATATTTGAATAAGTATTATATGGACATGCATTCAATGACCAAGCCGAAACAACTTGCATGAGATTATATATATATATACTATGAGAATGTAACTAAACAAAATTATAGGAATTGAATGCGCCAGCTCAAAGTAAAGACAAAGGTTGTGATGTATGCTTTAAGGACTTTGAAATTATTTAATGTCTAGAACTACAATTTTGAATTAATATAAAAGAAGTAGCTTAATAGGTCAGTGGAGATGTATACCTTGATTTGTTGCACCACTCAACATTAATATGAACTTGAAATCGTAGAAGGAGATATCGGTTGTATGGTACGACAAACGATTATCTAATGGGAAGCTTTTTTTGTGACTATGCGACCATCTTGACGCCTTCGATAAATGGGGAAGCCATCTTCATCGACTGTAGTTTCCGGCTGGAATTTTTTGGGGAAATGCTTACAACATTTTCCTGCAACGGTGCAAGGAGCCGCCGGGAACATAGAACCGCAAGGGCCAGGAAGCATATACTTTTTGATAGCATGAAAACATTGGGGGTCGGTTTCTTTTTCTGGAATTTCAGCCGAGATAATGGAATCAATTTTGCCTGGACCTAAAAACTTGTCCTCAGGGATCAAGAAAATGAGTATATGTGCATGAGGCAGTCCTCGTTTCTGGAATTCAATGGTGTATATTTCTCCATAAATGGAATATGAAATCTATCTGTAAGAAATTCTGAGTTGCAGTTATTTTGAATCAAAATAAATACTTAAATACCAAATTATAAGGAAAATAGTACCTGCACATGTCCGCCCAAATATATGTTTGGATTTGATCTCATCAAGCAATTGATGAAGTTTCATTTTGAAAACTCTAGCAATAATATCAGCACGATTGGGATCTGGTCTACCAGTTGTATTGATGAGATATGTCATAAACTGTATTTCGGGCCAAGTTGCATTACAGGTGAATGTCATAAATAAATATGGATACCCAAACCATCTGCAAATGGCCATAGCATCTTGGAAGTTCTCATACATATACCTCGGGCTTCCAGTATGAGATGATGATAATATGATGTGTTTCCCTGTCAACTCAACATCGGTATCTCCGCTAAGGAATGCATCAAAAATACCAGCATATAGGTTAGTACGAAGCTTACGTTGATTATTGCGAATCCAGTCTAGCCTCTCAGCTTCTATAAGTGTGTAGGCATTCACAACATATTGCTGGAATAGTTTTCCTGCCACGAACAAAGTTGACGGCTCGCTTGGTCTTGTTTGAAGTCTATATGCATAATATTGCCTTTGGGAGAGAAATCCTTTACTAATTTCGATATCAGGCCGCCATCCATCTTCTCCGTATGGGAATAATAATGGATATTGAAGTGCCATTAAGCTAGGGTGCCTCATGCTGACTCTAGATAGTTGTGAAGACTAAAGTTGGAATAATATATCCTGGTTGTATGTTTCAACTCCTGTATCATTGACCACTAATGCAGCTAACTCATTAATGTCAGTTGGCATATCATATTCACGACCATCTCTGGTTCGTGCAGCTAGTAGTCGCACCTCCATTTGTTGTACATCTTGATCTTGCAGTCTGTCACGCGCATATCTGAACAGTTGTACCAATTGATTGTGCTGATCAAACATGTCTTTCAATGACTCGATGAGTGTATCTTGCAACTGGTTACTTCTGTCATTGTTGTAAGCTTGCATTTTGTTGCTAATCTCATAACAAGTATCATGAATATATAGCTGGGCATATTTTGGGGAATTCCCATTTTGCGGAAGTAATGAGCCAATATTGTGATATACCTGACCACAAATGGAGAACACATATACTCCTTGTCCCTGGTTAATTGTATGGTCCACTTTTCCGCCCATCGAAGTGAATGAGAAACAACATTGTAAGCTCTGATAAATTCCCGAAAATGTTTGGGCAATGCGTCATTGGATTGTAGAAGCCATTTAAGGAAATCAGGCAGCTCTCTAGGCACCTGTCGATGTCTAGTAGGCTTTGTACTTTCTTCTCTCCACAAGAGAGCGCCACAAAATTGACAAATGCAATTAGGTGGGTCTAAGTTAAAGGGCTGGACAGTTGGGAGTCCTACATTTGTAATTGAAGGATTAAGAAAATACCGAGCTGTGTTTGAAAGGTGGATTAAAGGAATGAAGAATGCATTCTATATTAGAATAGAAGAACATACCTTGACGCATATGCCGACTTTTTAGTAGTTTGATCTTTCTTTCTAATCGATGAATCTTTGCTGCCAGCTTTCTTGTATAACATTCATAATCTGCATTATGCAGAAAGTTGTTGAATGCATGCCAGGATACATTTGCAATATTTAGGATGGAAGCTAATTAATTTAAGGAAACTAAATTTTAGCTTACTGGCTTTTATTGTAGAGTTGAACCGTGAATTTTTTTCCATCAATAAGTGTACCCTGCGCTGCGCCCTCATTGCCTTTGAGAGGGATGCTTTTAAATTCTTGAGTAAGTCGGTGTAATGTTGAACTCCTATCATGTAAAATAGGTAAGCAAAATCAGCAGGCTGTTGTGGCCGGTGTGAAAATATGGGGACTAATTGTTACCTGATGTATGATGTTCATGGGGATGATCAGATGGGATCGTTGAAGAAGTAGCCTCGCCTGGATTTGCACTTGCACATTGAGGAAAAGAGATGGTTTCACGCGTACGCAGACGTTTTCACCGTGGTGCATCTGGAAACATCATCGATCTTTTGCCATTTCGGTCCATCTGAAATAATTAGGTGATATGGTTCACATGAGATAAAAGTTTAAATACATAAATGGTTGATCCTAACTATATTGGTTCGGGTATGGAGTTATAAAACAACAAAGTGTTTGAAAGGGTATGAATGAAGATACTAAATAGAAGGGAAGTGATGACCGACTCTTCCAATATATGAGGATCAATAAATTGTGAACTAAATCTGGGTACACACTTGAATAATCTCGGTGTGTGTAATGAGTTGAAGATTGCATCTCAATACAGGGACTGACAGTAACATGGAAGATTAATTAACTGAAACAAATTAAAAATTCAATGAGAAATCACAGACCTATCAATTGAAGTACGGTGGTCGGCAACAACACGTTCCCTTGTTGCCACCACACGCAGAGAGGTAGGCCATGGGGATTGTGGTACTGGCGGCGGTATAAAATGAGAGGAGGAACAGCAGTTCGGCGGGAAAATGTTGGTGAATAAATGGGACAAATATTGGAATCGAAAAAAGGAAATTGGCGGCCGATTGATTTGCCACCGGAGACGAATGGGGTGGTAAAACTATCGAAGGATGGCTGGGCAGTAAGGGTATTCAGGGGGGATGATGGCGTTAGGATCGTTGACCGGAGAGTGCGGGAGACAAACCGGAAACCGGCGGGTAAATGGGTTCAGGGGAGGCTAGGTATAATTGGGGAGGAATGAGAAAGGGCTTTTGACTGATTTGGGAACAAACGGAA